CAGTATGAAGCCCCAGACAAATGGCTTAGCCTTATGAAATCGTTGACTAAACTGGACCTGGTCGTCTGCCATGATTGCCGCCATTGGTCCTTTATCGTAGTCTCTGAGACAAGAAGAAAAATCATCAGAGGGAGAGAGATAGAAAAAAGACTGAGCGAGAGTCATGGAAGTGGCTTAGTTGATCGTACACGTATAGCTAGTACAGCACAGGTAGAGACTGGTGCTGTGGTAGTGAGCAGGGTCCTACGCTCACCTCGGGTGTTGCGCCGTCTTCCACTAGGTTGAGATATGCGGCCGTCACACAAACAACTCTGACTGATCATTACTCGTGACATTACTGCGCCGGAAGCGTTTACTGACCGACGTGGCTCGCTGTCTTTCACCTCGTGGAAAGCTGCTACGGACAAGTCCTGCTACGGTCGTGGCCAAAGAAACCCAACCAACGAGTCCAAAGTAGCGCCGCCGTTCCATTAATTTTCGTACACGATGCAAAACCTATCCGAGAGTCGCAGAGGCCGCATGAGCCTTGTCTGAAGAAATTAGTTGTCGCTCCTTTCGGCTCACGGGTCGGATTTCTTTCGCCGCGACTGTGCAGTCATGTACTTTTCTTTCTTTTTCATTTTTACTTCAAGTAGTGTTAGTTTAGTAGGTGCTTGCAAGTACTGTACATGTACTTGACCTCTTCTCAATGAAGCTAGTGCATGGAGGACGAGCCCCACGCAGAACCCTCATACGTAACTGGTTTCTGGACGTCGACACGGCTTACCAGATCCGGTGAGGAGGACAAATCAAGAGTAGATGTACATGTACGTGGGTATCATCCACAATCGTTGTACTGTAGTCTGTACTGTAGGCTGTAGTCTGTAGGCTCTTCATGTGGATGCTAGTACTAGTAGCACAAGTACCAGAGTAGACTACGGGGTAAACTAAAAACAGAATTATGCTTTGTTGCAATTCAACGTCTCCAGCTGAAGCTGAAGCTCAACCACGAGCTCCAGCTGTGTGAACGGACTTCAACGGAGGGCTAATCATGTACAATGGGCGCTTTCGATTACACGTTTACAGAATTCTGGAACTGTTTTTTTTTAAATTCTGGAATGACCAGAATGAGCGGATTCCGGCCTGGTAAACGAACGACTGGAATTCACAACGCATTTTCTTCATGTCATGTCACAAACAAAATTGATGAATGGTAAAAAGAGATCGCGTACACCCTCGCGCGCACGTGGACCCAGCATCGACCCAGCGCGCACGCCGGCCAGGGAGGCTCTTCTTGAGTCATGACCAGACCGGTAACACACCGACTGTGTAATTCTGGCGCCAGAATTCGAGAAATTCCGTCCTCTCTTCAGAATTGACGGATTCGACGGAATGGGATAAAATCAATTCTAACGACGGAATTTGTCACTTTTTGTGTAATCGAACTGTGCATCAACAATAACTAATTCTAGAATTGACCGAAATGCGTGGAATCGAAAAGCGCCCAATGATTATGCAGATCAGTCAGTGTCTGCTCCAGACTCCAGAGCCGGGTTAGCCGGGTCAGCCGGGTTAGCCGGGTCAGCGTCCCCGTTGCTGGGTACATGCACTTGGACCCGCTTGGAAAACGAACATGGGGTCACATGTGACCCGGATTAGGGTTCAGCGGATAATACCGGCATTATATTCGGCATTATGAGACTATCCGAGCATCAGAGCATTTTTGGAGCATTAGATTGGAACAAAACGAGCATTATGTGAGGTTTGAGTGGCATTACCAGTTGCATAGTGGATAATATTGGGAAATCCCAGATTTTTCGCAACAATCGGCTACATGAAGACATGGCTCGTGAGATCCGACCCTCATCTGGTCTGAAAAGGGTGCAGCTGGAAGTGGAACGCATTGCATTGTACGGGTACATGACATTGTGGACACGTAACACTTTTAGCACTTTGTCCGCTGTATGTAGCAATGCAGTTACATAATCCATATAAAAACCGCTTTGTGAGCGGTTCTGAAAAAACCTTTACTGGTGCTGCCCCGTCGTAAAAGGAAGAAATTGAAACTGGCCCATTGTCTCCCCCAAATGCCAACTGATCCACCTAAATCGCGAATGACGGGACCCGAACGCACCAGTAGCACGAGGTTCCTACCTGTGGATGCAGATGGGGACGTTGGTCTGGACCATAGGCCATGTACTGTACAAGCGGTAGGTGGTGTTACCCTATGATAATTGCTGTGGTCCTGTGCCCTCCCGACCTCGTGCTCCTGGTGCGTTCGGGTCCCGTCATTCGCGATTTAAGTGGATCAGTTCGCATTTGGGGGGAATATGCAGTGGCAAGTGGCAAGTGCCATGAATATCAAGTTCTCATTTCTAATTGAGCTATTACTTACAGTCCTGCCATTGCTCGCTCGTCCTGATTCCTCCTCGTTCGTCGTCGTCCACTTCTGCAGTTCTCCTTCCCAACACGGCGTCAGGTCAGTGCATTGTGAATGGACCTTTTCGGGACGGGGGTACCGGAAGGAGTTCGCACGATGCCTCCAAATTAAGCTAGGGCTAGAGCGGACGTCTTTGAAGCAATATTTTTCGTCCTACGCATTCAGTTGGCGGACGAGACAGAGTTTAAGGGGCCGTTCCAGTTGCAGAAGACATTCATCAATGGCACTTTGCGATACGGGAGTACCGGAAGGAGTTCGCACCATGTCTCCAAAGGCCTAGAGCGGACGTCTTCGCAGCAATATTTTTCGTCCTGCGCAATCAGGTCGCCGAGGCGACAACGTTCAGGGGGCCGTTCCAGTTGCAGAAGGCATTCATCGATCATCAATGGCACTTTGCGGTACGGGGATACCGGAAGGAGTTCCCACAATGTCTCCAAAGGCCTAGAGCAGACGTCTTTGCAGCTTTTCGCCCTGCGCATTCAGTCCGCCGACGCGACAGCGTTTACGGGGCCGTTCCAGGTGCAGAAGACATCCATCAATGGCACTTTGAAGTACGGGATACGGAAAGGGGCGTCCTCTTTCGACGTCGTCGACTTCGGTAGCTCTGAATAAAGCCAAACAACAACAACAACTGTAGTTCTCCTTTCCGTCACGTCAGGGGTACCGAAAGGGACATCCTCGCAGTTGTCGCCGACGCGACAGCGTTTACGGGGCCGTTCCAGGTGCAGAAGACACCTTCAATCGCACTTTGCAGTACGGGATACGGAAAGGGGCCTCCTCGTTCGACTTCGTCGACTTATGTAGTTCTCCTTCCCGTCAGGGGTACCGGAAGGAGCCTCCTAGCCTCCCAGTTCACGGTCAGCATTTCTCAACTATTTCGCGGCACAAATTCAAAGCAGCCCGCGCGCTGACGGGGTCACGTGTCAAAAAAGTATCAACGACGTGTCGACAATGTGTCGACCACGTGTATAGCGGTACACTCAGCAGTACACTAATTCTCGTGCCATTCTCGTGTCACAAAACTGGAACATCGAGTACCAGTATGGAAAGGCTTCAGACAGGAAGCCTTTCCAATGTAGCAATGCAGTTACATGTACATGTAGGTACATGTACGTACCGGTAAAGGTACAGTCACGTACAGTAACTACAGTTGTAGCCAAAGAAATCCGACCCCTATCATAGTATTATATTATACTAGTAAGCCAAAGGGAGCACCCATGTGGCGCTCGGATGGGTTTTGGACGGTGCACGTCACGATGTATGGATTTTGGAATTTGAATTGGAAACGTGGCACTTCTTTGGTCTGAATTTTGACTCGTGGGTCACACAAAGCTGCTCCACAAATCCGAAGCGATAATTTACATGGAGCATATGTTTGTGTTAGAAATCAAGAAGAGCCATGGATCATGGAAACAGACGAAGAGGAGTTTTCTCGTTGTGCCTCAGGCGCTGACGATAGCGCAGGTCTCCACAAGATGTAGCGATATTGAAGTAGACAGATCCATTGCTAAAGTTGTGCAATGATGAAGGAGCGGCTATGAACAGAGCGCGTTCCAAAGAACTGCCTTTAAGTTTAAGGTCGGCAGAGCCGCCTGGCCCCGGCCCCGCCAGTGGGCCACCACCACTTCTCGCACATATTCGGGAATATAGTGGACTTTTGTATAAAACAAAAACAAAACATACATGTACTCGTGTTTAATTAACGAGTTCGGAGGGGTCTACAACGAGTAGACAACGAGTGGGTTTAGTCAAGTACGTGCGATTTCAACCATGATATGGAGAATAGCACCATAAATCGCGCCTCCTTTTGTGTTTGCGATTTTTCTCAAATTTCGAAAATGTTTCACCCATTCTTGTTGGACTAAACATGATGGAGAAACGTACCAAACAACCAGTAGGACCATTGATTTTGGCATAACCGTTACTAACATGATACAGAACAGGATCGAGGGTAACCAAAGTGCCAAAAATTAGGCTTGTTCCAGGCTTCAGCTTGCTCGCTTATTTTTTGTCTACTGCTCCGAAACGTTTTTTTTCTTCAAATATTCTCAACTGACTGCCCGGGCTCCATTGTAAAGTCTTTCGGAGAATGTTTTGGCATGGACCTCGTAAACACAACCCTTTGCTGCACCCATCCATCGGCGATGTGGCTATCATGGGGTTTCTTTCACTTTCATTCGGGTAAAAGTCAGTCAGGCTGAGAATTGTTCTCAAGGAAAAGTTCGCAAAAATCATTGCCAGTAAAAATAGAAGAAAACTGTTTGAAACTGCAAAGCAGCCGACTCGCATTGACCGGTTGTGAACGCAAGAAGCTAATTCTAAATCACGCCGTGTTTCACGTGCGTTCCCATGAACTCGTTCCCGTTGACGTTTCACGGCATGCTAATGGTCCATTATAGCAATAAAAACTGCTTTATGGCAGTTTTCTAAAAAAGTTATTGTGTTCTAGTCCATGGACCTCGTCTAAAAAGTAAGAAATTAACGAAATGTGATAGCCGAAAATTAAAATTTCACACAAAACCTCACAATAATCACGACACTTGAAGATCTAATAGTACGGCTTTCAACACTTGTTTATTCC